ATTATTATTATTATTATTAACTCGAAGCTGTCCCTTTGATCCCGAGAAGAGTCTTCTCAGGGACAGGTCAGCAATAAAATACATGTGCCCTGGTGCACGTTATTTTACTACTGTTTCTACTCGTGTCATACTTGATCACGATTACTCCCTAAATCATTCAAAACTTCGAGACTTCAGCGACATCAGTGCTGCATTCTCACCCTGCCTCTATGGGAGTAGACAATTACATCAAAGCTCAGGATGATTCAAAGAGTATTTACAGTATGTGCAATCATCGGAGAAAACGCCTCAATATATTTTAGGACAAACACTTGATGAACACAGTATGAACACTGTGCTGTGGTACGGGCAGCTCTGTAAGCAACAATAATCATTACAGCCCTGAGGTCTTTCAATAAAACATCTCAACTAAATACCCACCAAGTTGCTGCTGCACTGTAATATTTCTGCCAGAATACATATCGACTGCTGTGGAAGGGAGCCAGCTGGAGTCTGAGCTTCTTTGAATGATATACAGGTCCTTTGTGGGTTAATTAATTGTGAGTAACACTGTAGGTTACCTCTCACTGCATTCAAATGCTCTTTTCATCTACTATTCAGACTCTGCCTCAGGCAGAAAGGGTAATTAAATTGTACTACACTAGATTTAAAAGTTTTCACTGTAGGCTATCTGCCTACTTGACTAAACTTGCTGACATTTGCTTCATACGTTTTTTTTTGCCTATCACAATATGTTTTTATATTGAAAAAACATCAAGTATTGTGGGACCCATCAGTGAAGCTATTTTACTACATTTACCAAAGAGCCAAAATCACCTGTGAACGTACTTTGTGAAAAGTAAAATTCTCACAGAATAATATAAGAGAAAACCATGAAGAGTCTTTAATCCTTATTACACAGAGAACAATATTCCTCTACTGCATTTTAAATGGCTTCATGTAATGACTAGGGCAATTAAAGAGAGAAATATCAAGATATTTCAAGCTGAAAGCAACATCACTTTGAATATGCTTTATGTTGCCATTAAAGCAACACTGAGAATATATTTCATGTATGGCATCCTCAGGAACTGCTGGAATGTAATTACAATGTGTACAAGGCTGATAGAGAAACCGGGGAGAGGGTAATTAATGAGATTTACCGATTTCTACACTGAATAAAAATGAAAGCCCTGTTCAATTGCTGTCTTCTAAAAAATCTATTAAAAATTTTAAAAAAGATTTCCTAATGCTTTTACAGCAGTCACTGAATGGTCGGTCTGACTTAAATTAGGCATTGAAGAGTGCTGCCTCTCTGAATACCAATGGGCACACTCTGCAGGGACTGACGTACACTTCCTGGCCATGGCAGGTTTACTACAGTTATGTAGGATGAGAGTAAATCAGCATAAAAGTAGGAGTAAAAAAAAAAAACTACATTTCAACCCAAAGCTGTAACAACACCAGGGTCTGCCATTTAACAGCTGGAGTAGTCCAGACTCCACATGACAAAGATAATCAATCTAAGATGCCACATGTACTTCAAAGATAATTAACAAGGCTGATTAACATGGACATCAACATCAACATGCCAACTATTCTAAATTAACTAGTTTTCCTATAATTTACCCAGCACCG